GACGACGATGGCGAAGATGTGAATAGTGATGGAGACGGAGTACACTCAAGTGGTGAGGATCAACAACAAGACGAAGAGTAAGGTGTTGATGAAAGTTTGCACTGTTCATACACTTGTTGAGTCTTGCGATTTCAATGACTTTGTTACTTTCAATTGCATCTATGTTTGTGTTGACCAGTCTTATGATAGAAAGGCCACTCAGTACCCTGTCGAAGCTGATATGATGATAGCTGACACAACATCTTTAGTCCTCTCATGGTGTACATACAACATGGCTTGCGATTTGTAGAAAGAGACTCATGTCGCGTTTTTCAGAAAAGAGCGTCGGGCTTCAAGGAGACCATAATAAAATGAAGTGCTTGATGTCTATAACATGCTGAAACAGACACCATGTGGAAAATCTCGGTAAAGTCCGAAAAATGGCTTGGGCGTTGGGGGTTAACATCATACACAGAACTTAGTCCATACCAATAAAAAAAAATTATACCGTACCGAGGTGATATCCGAGGTTGTTCGCAGAGTGAGCCCAGTCCATCAACAAACAGTCACCCCACTCGCGGAATATACGTTTTTGAACGGCAGTTTGTATAACTATCGCCGACGTGACATCGAGTTGGTCCTGTAATAAAAGAACGCTGGACCCTTGCTCCGCTACAGCGTCCAGGAGATGCTTTAGCTTGTGCTCAACGGATGACTTTCCAAGAGCCCGCTGTATTATATTTCGCACCTGCTGGGGCGTCACCATTCATTCTAAATGATATCACAAAAAGATCAAACACTAAATAAAAAAGTCGAATGCAAACAACCGAGACTGTCGGAGAGGAATTGAGTGATCTTTTTTTGGTGCGCCACCAACGCTGACCATGTCCGCTAGCCGGCTCTGAACATCGGGGCAATTATCAACGCAGGCTGATCCTTGGTAAGTGCTTCCGATAGCTGCGTTAGACTAGTGGTTATGCGTCCTAGTCTAGTCATGTGCAATATAACTAAATGTTAGTATAAACAATTAATTGTTAGTACGACCTCCATTTATGTATATCTTCACACTCTCACCTCATTGTATACTTTGACGACCCACTTAGTTGCGCAACCTTCATCAGTAACTTGAACGACCTTAGCCGAGAAACGAGCTGGACAACCTCCATACCGACTAGAGCGTTGACGCAGGCCAATACCACGAGAGTTTTGATGGCATCCATAAGAGTACCAAAACGTACGAGAGTACCACGGAAAGCGCTCGGGGATATTTCTGGTACGTGGTCATCTGCACAAAACAATATCGAAATTAAAACTTAAAGGAACCATCACATTAACGGCACCATTGGACAGCAAGTACAACAAACACAGTTATAGCACAATGCATCGACAACAAAAAATGTTAGACATAAATTATCAATAGCAATAAAACCACAACTCAACATATCGAACCTGTTGTGTGTTGTCGTTGTTAGAGATTCTCTCCATCGGTAGCGCAAGAAGTACTGCGCTTCGTACTCTTTTGCCGCCTTAATGATGGTATCCCAAATCATTACTTTCAGTTACTGGAAATATAGGAACTACATTGACAACTGCCTGAACAGATTTGTCATCGCAAGTCTCGCGCTCCAACTAGCACTCTGCCGCTGACGAGGAATCCTATCGGTGGCTTCATTTTGGCTTTCAGCATTCGAGCTGCTATGGTTTGTAAGCACCATATCTAAACAATTATATGCAGAATAAGCTAGACAGTCCATCAATGCGATAATATTCGCAGTTTGAGTTGATAACCAATCATTTTTGATGTTCTGCTACTTTTTTTTCGATATTCGAGACTTGACTCTGTTTCTCTCTTCAAAGCCTGATCCGTTTTAGCTGTAAGAATGAATATAAAAGTAAGACTCAAATTATACATGGGTCTTTTATTCTGAACGGGTTACCTGGTGAGTGAACAACAAGCAGGTTGGCTGGGAATGAAAAAGGTGATTCGTTGAGAGGAATCTCGACTGTTCCGTCCAAATCACTCTCCA